AAAGGCTCAAAAAGCAGAAAGCAAATAAAAAGAACACCAAATCTATTATTTTTACATAATCTCCTGATTTTTAAGCCAATTTCATGATTTTTGGTGAGCCTGACTCCTGATTTGGCAATACTGTGAAAGTGACTTGAAAGTGTCCGTTTCACTCCTGTTTAAAGTCAGTTTCTAGTCTATTATTTGTAGTGGGGTAACACCCCTAGAGCCCCAGGCAGGCGCAGTATAAACTCACGGGGCAGGATATTTCCAAAAGTTAAGTGATCTATTCCAAGCTTGGCGAACTGCAAAAAGTAAGTAGCCTACATAATAGAAAGTTATCTAGATTTTCTACAATTCTTTCAAGCATATTCAAGAGTTGGTATACATTAAAAACCAGTGTCCTTTAAGTGACTTGTCACAAGACGACAGAACATGTTAGTATTAGAGCTGAGTGGGTCTAATAATGTCTTTCTTTATATAGGAATTAGATACAGTGCTCCTGTCAGCTAATTTCTAAGTTATTATCTGCAAAAAAACCCTAGAGCTTTCAGGTGCCTAAGTAGCCCCTGGAATCATGGTTAAAGTTGCCCCCCCATCTGAAATGGCACCCCTGTGTGCAACTTATTGAAAGACTGTACTCAAAAAGTAGTTATCAGCAGTTCGCTGTCAAATTTTGAGTGTGATCTAATGGGGTCCCGAAGGGGTCAGTCCAGGGTCTGGTACTATTCAATATTTCTTTCAATGATTTGAATGATGGAGAGTATACTTATAAAATCTGCATCTGAGACCACGGTGGGAGGGCTTGCAAGCACTCTGGAGAACAGACGTAGAATTCAAAATGACCTTGACAAATTGGAGAATTGATCTGAATTCAACAAGATGAAATTCAATAAAGACAAGTGCAAAGTACTTCACTTAGGAAGTTAAAAATCAAACGCACAACTACAAAATGGGGAAGAATTGGCTAGGCGGTAGTACTGCTGAAAAGGATCAGGGGTTATTGTGAATCACAAATTGAATATGAGTCAACAGCGCTCAGAAAAAGGCTAATATTCTGGGATGTATTAACAAGAGTGTCATGTAAGATATGGGAGGTAATTGTCCCACTCTGCTTAGCACTGGTGATGCCTCAGCTACAGTACAGTGTCAAAGGCACCATGCTTTAGGAAAGACATGGATAAATTAAAGAGTCTAGAGGTGAGCAACAAAAATAATGAAAGGTTTTGAAAACCTGATGTGTCAGGAAAGGTTTAAAAAAATGGGCATGTGTAGTCGTGAGAAAAGAAGACTGATAGTCTCCTTATATGTTAAGGGCTGCTATAAAGAGGACTCTGATCAATTGTTTTCCATGTCCACTAAAGTTAGGACAAGAAGTAATGGGCTTAATCTACAGCAAAGGAGAGTTAGGTTAGTTATTAGAAAAAACTTTCTAACTGTAAGGGTAGTTAAACTCTGGACTAGGATTCCAATGGAGGTTGTGGAATCCCCCATCACTGGAGGTTTTTAAAAGCGGTCTGGACAAACACCTGTCAGGGATGGTCTAGGACAGGTTTACTTGATCCTGCCACAGCACAGGGGGCTGCACTTGATGACTTCTCAAGATCCTTTCCAGACCTACATTTCTATGATTCTATGACATGCCCATTAGAGACTAGATTATGACCACCAACTCATTTCAAATAGGTTATCAAACAGCCTTCATAACTTCTCATCACTAAGTACTAATATAATAATAAAAATATATAATAGGGGGAATAGCTCAGTGGTTTGAGCATTAGCCTGCTAAACCCAGGGTTATGAGTTCAGTCCTTCAGAGGGCCACTTAAAGATCTGGGGCAAAATCAGTACTTGGTCCTGCTAGTGAAGGCAGGGGGCTAGACTCAATGACCTTTCAGAGTCCCTTCTGGCTCTATGAGATAGGTATATCTCCATATATTATCATTATATTTTTTTTACTTGGGCTCAATTTGACCTGGTGGCTTCACAGTGAGTCCTCATAGATCATTTAAACAGCAGAAGGACAAGAATGTCAGTCAGATCACACGGTTACTCAGTAAAGCACAGCCATATCATGGTGGTTTATTTTTTGCTATCTTCATCCCATTTCCCTTTTCATAGGCAAGCTGGCAGAAGTGAAATTTTAGGAAAGATCTGAATGAGACAAAGGAGAGTCCCAGGCAAACAGGTTTGGTGAGGGTGCTGCATGCATAATGGGTAGCACGGATGGACATGTGTAAGGGAGATGAGATGTTAAGAACCTACCTTGGTTCTAAGTCTAGCATGAGTTTCCAGGGCTGGCAATTAGAAACCATTTATTTATTTGCAAACTGAGAAGATTAGATCTGGAGTCAGGGGGACACAAACATGAAAGCCCAGGATGCCATTTTTATAGCAACTTTTCACAGGAAAGCCATACTTTAAGTGTAATCTTTCTTTGTATATAGGTAATTATATGACCTCCATCACCATAGTATCTAAATGACTTGTCCAATAGTAAGTCTGTGGCAAAGCTGAAGATTTCAGATCTCCTAAATCCCAGTCTGTCGGGAGGATGGTCTTGTGGTGAAGATGCTATTTTCCATGTCATTGTGCCCTTATAATTTTCATGAATCATAGTTTGCCATTTTACTGTGCTCCTCTCTGAAGTACAATAAGATACTTTTACACCTTATGGTCCAAATTGATCTTTGGTGTAATTCCTTTTAAGTCATTGGAGCTGCACTGAGTGGTGAATTTTGACCTGTATTTTATTACAACAAAGGGTCTTATTTGGGAATCATCACAGCCAGGGGCATGGGTGGTCAGGTTTAATGGTCTGAGCTGAAATCAATATCCAGAAGTCAAAGACCAGAGTCAGAGCTGAGGATGAGAGCCAGAATCAGGAGTCAGAAACTGAGCACAGCAGGGGCAGGACTAGAGCCAGGCTGGGAACACGGCACACACAGGAGCAACTGCGGCTATGGGCATAAGCATTGAACTGCTGGCTTTAAGAGCAGCACTAGCAATGATGCTCAACCAGTCTCCAATAGAGTGTTCTGCACAGATCTTCAATTTCTATTCATGCTCCTTGGTTTTCTCAGTGTGGAGGGTCACAGCGCATTAATGGAGGGGATATTACCTGTATCATATCCTATTTCAGAGCCTGGAATTAAATCCCACTCAAAATCTCACTTGGATTTCTAGTCTGGAGAGATTAGGTTTTGCTGTCTCTTCAACCTCCTTTCCCTATTCTCAAGTATTACAATACATTTCCATAAGATAGTGTCAGGACTTGAATGAAGGGGAAGCAGATAGAATACAGACCAGCTAACATAATTGTACCACACACAATTGTCACCCTTAGCCACAGCTCTGCATTGAGAGAAGTGCAAAGCCCCAGCGGGAGAACTTGGAGGTATTGTGACCTCGGACACCTTGGCCTTTTGGCTAAGATCACACATAGCATCAGTTTAACATCTGATACAATCCTTCTTGAAAGACAACTGGAATCTCCTACACTTGCAGGAGAATTGTTGTTCATTTCCAGCAGCACTCACAATGTGCTAGTGCTAGATACTTTCCAAGCAGGAGAGAAGGGAAGGTCCCTGCCTTGAGGAGCTCAAAGATCTACCAGGTCTTTCTCATTTCAATGTCCTAGTAACTACTATTGTACAGAGTTTCCCTATCTGCCCTCATTACAAAACTGGGGTAAAGTAGGTTCCACT